CGAGTCCGACTCTCTAACCATTAGGCCACGACTTCCCCTATGAATCCTATGTATTCTATACATACACAATGTAAATATCACTGATTGCATTTTAGCATTTACACACTAGATTGGACACAAGGGAAAATGATGTGACCAAATGCTGCTACACACTCTGATCAGCACTCTGTGATTGAATTTAAGTTGCTTTTGAAATGCAATTTGCTCTATTCCCACTTGATTTCAAACAGACTCTTTCTACACCCTCAAAATAGATCTTATACATTCTGTTCCATCAGCTTTAATTGTGCAGCCAATTGTAGAAAGGAAAACTGGACTAAATAAACTTTAATTGAAATGCAATGTCTATTTTTGTTCAGTTACAGTATATCCATCTTATCTTCATATCAGGAGCTGTAATGTTGAGAAGTAAGTTGTACCTCCAGGCTCATTTCTGGATATTTCCTTCCTTTGCTCTTTCCCAGACAGCGAGTACGTCCTGCCTCCAGTTTCTGACACCAGAAACCTTTACTCTCGTCAAACCTTTAAACAGAGAGCAGGGACTAGTTACGTCTCCAATAATAATCCAATACATCTAATCCAATGACATCCATTTTTAGGACATATTTTAATTCAAATGTGATCAAATAGAATTGAGGACTGAGATCATTAGTTCTGTAGCAAATATAGTTGTAGTAAGCGTTCTTGGACTCGAGCGAGAGGGTGTGCGATAATAATGAAAGCTCGTACGTCAGCGCCTGTGTGTAGTTGTAGTACGGTGTGACTCCAAGAAACTTCTGAATCCCATCCATCACCTGAGCAGGACTGGAGCGCAGCTGCACACCATCCACGATCAGCAGCTGTTCACAGGATAAAACACACATCACACACACTGATGCAGCTCAACACGCCTGCTCTAGAGCATTATGGGATGATTTTGAACGAGGTTCACTTATCGCAATCTAATGACTTTAGAAAGCCCAAACTTGTGCGTGTTTGTTTGTGTGTGTGTGTGCGTGCACACATTTATATGTCTGGATAATTATGACAAGTCAATTATAAGAAAAAAATTCATA